CTCCAAGTTAGATACAAACTTGGGGTAGTATTTATCTAATTATGTATGTGTGAGTGGGTGGGACTGTGGTCAAACCATTGTTTCTTGAGTAATGACACATCACATTCCTTGGTGAAAGCTGTGCACTGTATTTGTGGGAAAAGAGGAAGAATGAGAGATAAGGTCCACAGAGTACTGCAAAACAGTCCTTGAGAGAAGCAGGAGATATATCTGCATAGTCAGGTCAAATGTTCCTTGAGAAAAGTGGAAGAATGCAACTGTGTGGCATCCACCTCACTTAGCATTCCTCCTTGGTGTCACGACAACACAAATCACTGGATCTCTATCCCTTCCTGTGTTTGTTCTGGGCATCATATATTAAGGAAGTGTGTATTTTGCAGATTATTTGCTAGTTTGCTTTTCCCACACTTCTAACACTTCCACGACATGACTACAGTCACACCCATGCACTTGAATGTGGTCTCTAATTAAGGTCTTCAGGACCAGGGACATTGATTGGGTTGTTGTCATCTAAAGGGATTGTTGAATCATTCTTATGCTACCAGTTTTCATTACAGTTGATTTTATACAAGGTATTGCTATAACTATGACAATCATAATCACAATGAACATTAACATATATTGTATCAAATTTTGGATCCAGCTGGTAATACCAAGTCAAACCAACTAAACACTCTCAAAAACCAGCTGTTATTCATTGATTCTCATAGCTCATGGCTGACTTTTGCTACTTGGTGTTATCTTCTCCAGTTGGAGGTCCTGTGTAAGATTAAGGACATAAATGCAGCAGTGAGTACTGGAGAGGTTTACACAGCAACAATTGGGGCTACAGGCATTTCTTTTAGGGTAATTTTGCCCTTTCCTCCACTGCATGAAACAATAAATTTTAATGTGTTGATTATATTGTAATATGTTGGATGCTTGTCCCCAAGGTTGCAAGTCTGTGGTGCCCCATATGGTCCAATTACAGGGTAGAGTGGTATTTTCATTTGTGTAATATGTACTTGTTTTGTCTATGGTAGTGTGGTGGTTTAGGCCCTGCTGAGACTGGAGACCATGTTGCCGTTGTCCCTCCCCCACCCTTAGGATGAACAGGCTGGAAGAGAGGCACAAACCCCAGGGATGAAATAAGGAGAAATTTAACACAACATTGTACTAAATAATAAACAGAACAACAACAATAGCAATAATAACAATAAACAGTAATAACAATCAACAAGACAAAAGATATACAGAGAAATACTGCAATGGAAACAACCAGCCCACCGCACATGTTTCCCAGGACCAAAGCCAAAAAGGAAAACTTCCCAGGCTTCAGCACTGGACATGACGTCAACATGGTATTGAATAACCCATCTGGAGATCCATTCCCACTGCTGGGGAAACAACCCTATCCTAGCTGAAACAGGACATAATCCACGCCTTTATTCTATACCATCTGCATCATGCCAAGCTGCCATTTAGCAGTTAACAATAACAAAATAATAATTTACAAAGGCACAGCATAATTCATGGCATGTTCTCACCCAGAATCAAGTTCTCCTGTGGTACACATTGGACCTCTCCGTTGTCCTTCATCACCCACCAGGTACACACAGGTCCTGGAGCAAAAGAAATCACATGGATGGGTTTGCCTTTGCCATTGCCTGGCGCAGGATTAAACCAGACCATTTTGCTCAATACATTACTATGCACACCACAGGGAATTTCTTCCCATCTACAGCACAGGGAGGTTTTGACTGAGCCGGGACAGCTCTATTGGTAGATCATTTTGTGTTGACTAACCATGTGGCCTTTGCTAGATTCATGTGCCAGTTTTTGAAAGTCCCACCTCCCAGTGCTCTCAGTGTAGTTTTTAACAGTCCATTGTGGCACTCACTCTTCCCAGAGTCTGGTGCATGGTGGGGGATATGGTAGACCCACTCGATGACATGTTCTTCTGTCCAAGCATCTATGAGGTTGTTTCAGAAGTGGGTCCCATTGTCTGACTCAATTCTCTCTGGGATGCTGTGTCGCCACAGGACTTGGGTTTCAAGGCCCAGGATGGTGTTCCAGGCGGTGGTGTGGGGTGCTGGGTAAGCTTCCAGCCATCCAGTGGTTACTTCCACCGTTATGAGCACATCATGCTTCCTGTGGCGGGTCTGTGGCAGTGTGATGTAGTCCATCTGCCAGGCCTCTCCATATCTATATTTCAGCCATCGCTCTGCATTTCGCTGGGGCTTCACCTGCTTGGCATTTTTGATTGCAGCACACACATCACACTCATGGATGATCTCTGCAATAGTGTCAATGGTGAGGTCCACACTTTGACCTCAAGGACACCTGTATGTCACATCTGTACCTTGGTGGCCCGAGGTCTCATGGGCCCACTGGGCTATGAAAAGTTCACCTTTACGCTGCCAGTCCAAGTCCACCTGAGCCACCCTGATCTTAACACCTTGGTCTGCCTGCTGGTTGTGTCGATGTCCATCAGTGGCCCGACTCTTGGGTACATGGGCATCCACATGGCGCACCTTCACAACGAGGTTTTCCACATGGGCTGCAATGTCCTGCCATACTTCAGCAGCCCAGATGGTTTTATCCTTAAGTTGCCAGTTCCTCTGTTTCCATTGCTGCAACCATTTCCACAGGGTACTCGCCACCGCTCACGAGTCAGTGTAGAGGAAGAGCCTTGGCCATTTCTTCCGCTCAGCAATATCCAAAGCAAGCTGGATGGCTTTCACCTCTGCAAACTGGCTCGATTCACCCTGTCCCTCAGCAGCTGCAGTGACCTGTCGTGTGGGACTCCACACAGTAGCCTTCCATCATCGATGTTTTCCCACAATATGACAAGACCCATCAGTGAACAGGGCATATCGCTTCTCCTCATCCGGCAGCTCATTATATGGTAGGGCTTCCTTAGCACGTGTAACGTCCTGCTCTGGTGACATCCCAGAATCTTTGCTCTCTGGCCAGTTCGTGATCACCTCTAGTATCCCTGGGCATCTGGGATTCCCTATTTGAGCCCGCTGTGTTATCAACGCAACCCATTTACTCCACATGGCATCGGTTGCATGATGTGTGCAGGAAGCCTTTCCTCTGAACATCCATCACAGCACCAGCAGTCGGGGTGCCAGGAGGAGCTGTGTTTCAGTGCCGACCACTTCTGAGGCAGCCCGAACTCCTTCGTATGCTGCCAGTATCTCCTTCTCAGTTGGTGTATAATTAGCTTCAGAACCTTTGTATCCCCGGCTCCAAAAGACCAGAGGTCGGCCTCGGGTCTCCCCAGGTGCTCTCTGCCAAAGGCTCCATGTAGGGCCATTCTCCCCGGCTGCGGTGTAGAGCATGTTCTTAACCTCCTGCCCTTCCCGGACTGTCCCGACGGCTAATGCCTGGGCAGTCTCCCGCATAATTTTTTCAAAGGCTTGTTGTTGCTCAGGGCCAAATTTGATATCTTTCTTCTGAACATGTTACGTGGTAGAGAGGGCTCACAATCAGGCTATAGTTCGGGATGTGCATCCTCCAGAACACCACAGCACTCAGAAAAAAATGAGTCTCCTTTTTAGAGATTGGTGGGGCCACGGCTGTTAGCTTGTTTATTACCTTCGTCCTGATGTGGTGACGCCCATCTTGCCATTTTATTCCTAGGAATTCCATTTCCTTTGCAGGCCACTTAACTTTCTTTTGCTTAATGTCAAAGCTGGCCTTCAGGAGGATTTCAATTATCTTCTTTCCTTTCTCAAAGACGTGCTCGGCTATGTCCCTACATACAATGACATTGTCAATGAACTGCAGGTGTTCTGGAGCCCCACCTTTCTCCAGTGCAGTATGGACCAGTCCATGGCAAATGGTGGAGCTCTGGTTCTACCCCTGGGGCAATCGATTCCAGGTTTACTGGATGCCTCTCCAAGTGGATGCAAACTGTGGCCTGCACTCTGTCAGGCATGTAGAAGAACACATTAGCAATGTGAATTGTGGTGTTCCACTTGGCTGCCTTCGAATCCAGTTCATACTGGAGCACTAGCATGTCCAGCACTGCAGCACTCATTGCTGGCGTAACTTCATTCACGCCATGGCAGTCCACAATTGGCCTCCATTCATCATTAGGCTTTCTCCCTGGCCATATAGGGCTGTTGAAGGGTGAGTGAGTTTTGCTAATCACATTCTGGCTTTCTAGTTGACGGATCAGCTGATGGATAGGGACCAGGGAATCTCAGTTGGTATGGTACTGCCACTTGAGCTCCGTCCTGGAAGAAATCGGCACTTGCTGCTCCTCAACCTTAAGTCGTCCCACCACTGACGGATCTTCTGAGAGGCCGGATAGGGTGGGCAACCATTCAACCTCCTCCAGGGCAGCTATACCAAAAGCCCACCGGTACCCTTTTGTGTCTCTGAAGTACCCTCTCCTGAGATAGCCTATGCCCAGGATGTACGGGGCATCTGGGCCAGTCACAATGGGGTGCTTATGCCAGTCCTTCCCAGTCAGGCTCACTTCAGCTTCCAACAGGGTCAGCTGTTGGGATCCCTCTGTCACTCCAGAGAAGCAGATGGATTCAACACCACTGTAGCTTGATGGCATCAGGTGCACTGTGTGCCAGTATCCACCAAAGCCTTATATTCTTGCGAGTCTGATGTGCCAGGCCATTGGATCCACACTGTCCAGTAAATCCGATTATCACTTTCCTCCACCTGGCTGGAGGCAGGGCCCCTCTAATCCTGCTCATCATCACTCATTTCTTGCAAGAATGATTTTCTGTTCCCCTCAAGAGGGTAAGACATAACGTTCACCATTCTGTTCTGCCTAGGAGATTTCTGATTGGACACTGGAGCTGCGCTCTTCTTGGAGGACTCCCCTTTCATGGTGGTCTTCCCTTTCAGCTGCTCTACTCGTGCAGCTAGGGCAGCAGTGGACTGTCCATCCCACTTCCTCATGTTTTCTCCATGGTCGCAGAGGAAAAACCAGAGGGTTCCTCGTTGTGTGTACCTTCTATTGCCTTTCTCTTGAGTGGGGAAACGTTTACTTCTAATGGCTGAGGCATCAGCCCGTTGCAGGTGGAATGTAATACATGTCCTCTTCCACTTTCTGGACCCTCTGAAACAGTTCCTCTACTGCTGAAACCAAGGCATATTGAGATGAAGGGAGATTTCCCTCATATTGCCGGAGCTTGCCAACCACTCCATCCACTGTTAGAGTGTCGGTGTCTGTCTACCAAGACACTATTTCAATACTTTGGAGTGTGTTTCTGGTGCACTTTTCAGGAACTTTCGCCACATCAAGTGTGTGCAGGGGACCTGATCTGGGTCCATGAATGACTGCTCATTATTCAGATCACCATAGATCATCTCAAACACAGCCTGTTCCCTGAGATTCTGGATGCTTTCTCCATGTTAGTCCATTTGCTTAGCTGACATAGTATATCATCCTTGTAGGGGTGCCTCTCCCTTACACTGAGCAGGAGTCACTTCCAAACACTGAGGGTTTGAGTCTGTTTCGCTATTTCCCTATCAATGCCAGCCTCTTTGGCCAAAGATCCCAGTGCCTGGCCTCTCTCTCCTCCATCTCAAAAGCACTGGCTCCATTGTCCCAGCATCGGAGCAGCCAGGTGCAAATCTGCTTGCCTCCTAGGTGGCCGAAATCTCTCTGCATATCTTGCAGCTCAGTCTGGGATAGAGACCAGACGATCACCTCTGGCCCTTCCTCCTGTTCCTGTGTTGGGCCTGTCTCATACCCATCCCCCACTTTGATAGCTGACTTTCTGTTATATTTGGTTTTCTGTATTGGGGCGACTGACACTGGCACTGTCTGTCTCTCTGGCTTAGCTGCTGTACCAGTAAGTTCACTCTGAGATCCTGCAGCCCTTTCTCCCCTTGAGGCCAGTGAGTAGTATTAAAAAGTACATGGGTAGGCATGAGCAAGTCCCCAACACATCGCAGTGATTTGTGTCTCCCGGGTTTTGTCACATTGGCGACACACCTTTTTTAAGCACTGCACCAGTTTATCAGGGCTCTGCATTTGTTCGGGGGTGAAATCTCAAAGCATTGGGGGTGAGCACTGACTCACGTGCTTGCCCATCTCTTCCCACATACCATGTTCATGTCAGGTCTGGCACTGCAGGGAGGGAAGGAATTCCTTTGTGTCTGTGGCTGGAGATCCCTTCCCACTGCTGGGGAAACTTAACCCTATCCTAGCTGAACCAGGACAGGTAGAAAAATTGAACAGTTAATCAAGTCTCACAGCAACTTGCTTTCTATCTCGAATAAACACTTATTATTGTACTTCACGGTCTTAGCACACTTCTGGCTATATCTGTGGGAAGAATACCCACGGGAAAGAGCTCTTCCACAGATTTGGGTCGGGGCAAGCAAGCAGTAATACTAGATTCATTGAAGGAAATTGCAAATCCCTTTATCAAGGTTAAAACTAGATTATAATCTAAACCATGAGTGGTTTGGACAGGTAAAGTTTGCCTATTCTCATTCCGAGTACTTTCTTGGTTCCAGTGGGTTGTCATTCATTTTCTTAATACATGAAAACACATTAAACCAAAATATATCTTACCAAAACAAGTTATAAATGTCATGTTTGCTAATCCTAACTACAAGCATTATCTAAATAATTGTGGGAATGTGGAACTTGCAATTGATATCCTTGTCCACAATAAAAAAATACATTTCCCAAACCATTTTGTTTACAAGCACATATACAAATTAAACCCCAAATTACATCAAACATAAAAATTAATAAACCTTGTGGACACTCGAGATTAGTATAGTGGAGTCCTTCATTGCCAGTACAGTTGTTCAATATCTGGACCGGTAACCTGTGAAAACAAAAAGTGAATCGCTTGGCTTCTGTCGAGCCCGCACACAATGGGTTAGAAAGAAGGCATTTTCCATCTGTTATTGATTTGTTGGGTTTTTCCAGAACTATCCTTTGCTTCCCAAGCAGTGTTTAGTACCATCACTACCATTCCAGTCTGTGGTAGCTTGACTAACACAGGTTGTCCTACAGAAACCCATGGGCTATTGTCCAGGTTTCTGAGGAAAGCCAGCAGGTGGTGCTGCGCCTTTTTTGGATTACGTCTAAAAAGACAGAAAGGTCCAGATAGCTTGTTACAACAAACATATTTTAAGAAGCAGTAATTTATCTTCCATCCTCCCCTATGATGCTTTTTAGGTTTTTGGTTTGGTTTGGTTTTGTGTTTTGTTTTTTTTTTTTTAAGGTACTCATGAAAAAATCAACTTCCAGGTTGAATGATTTGTCTGCCATAGTGTGCATTCAGAACAAACAAGCATACTTTTCTTATACAGGATAAGCCTGTCATTCCACATTCTGTTGTATAGGTAGAAAGCACACACAACTAGTACAAAGAGCTTGACAAGCAATGAAAAAATAAAGCACTAACCAAGTTACAATTTGGGAAGAGTAGTATTGCAGTAAACTGACTGTTCCACCTGACCATCTTATGCAAATTGTCAAGCTGAAGTGGGATTCAGACAATTGTGTGTCTGAACAAATACGCTGTTGTTCCAACTTTTTTTTTTTTTTTAACTTGTGCTGACCATGTCTTTCATTTTCATTTGGTAATGAGATCAGTTGAATGCACTAATAGTCAAAGAACAGATATTGGGCCAGAGTTACATCTATCTTCCTTAGATAAAGGATATGCTTAACCAGGAGGCTACTGCTGATAAAAAGCCTTCCTTCCCAGATGTACTACTTTTAACTTGTTTAAATGTTTAAAGGATTATTGAGATTTGTCATCTACAAGTGTAACAGACTTCTGACAGTTGGGTTAATGAAAAAAATTATCATCTTTTATATTGACAAATACCAAAAATAAATGGTACTTTCCCCAGTGGGCTTAATTTGAACCTATAATTCCATTTCTAGAGCAGGACAAAAATATGCTCAGTGGAACACATATACTCTTAGTTTTTTTCTAAGGATCTGGCTGCATTGGTTCAGTTAGTTGTTGCTGTTTCAGAGTTCTAGCTTGTCTTTATCTATCTCTCCGTGTTTAGCAGACTATGGATTTGTTTTGATTTCTTATTTTTTTATCTTCTCGCTCCCCCTAACCCCACCCACCCACTCAGTCCCTTCCCAGGACGCAGCTATTTTCTCAGTTTGCCCAGGATAATTTTGTCCTGCTGTCTCCTCAGTAATTACAGGTTTCCCCATAATAAGCTAGTTGTATTTTGTCCTGGTTCAGCCAGGATAGAGTAAAGTTTTCCCCAGCAGAGAGAGAGGGGGAAGGGATCTCCAGCCGGGTTATTCATACCATGCTGATATCAGGTCCAGGGGCGGAGCCTTTTCACTTTCCCTTCTGGTGTTGGTTTTTGCCATACACACGCGGCGGGTTTGCTCCTTGATCATTTAGAGGTATTTCTCGGTATATCTTTTGTCTTGTTCACTGTTATTGCTGTTTATTGTTGTTACCATTGATAATGTTGTTATTCAGATTGTTCTATTACTCTGTTGTATTAAATTTCTTGTTATTTTAGCCGGGGTCTGTGTTTAACTTCCAGCCCGACCGGCGCGGGTGAGGGAGGGGCAGCAGCCACGTGCTCTCTCATCCCGACAATAATTAAACCTTGCACATATTTGCATATCAGTTACATGTAATTGTGAGATGGTACGGCCATTTTACACAGTTGTTTGTGAAAATTTGTGTGTACAATTACCCATTCAGGCTTTCTATCTCAGCTATTCTCCTGATGGCTCTGTCCCCTTTTTTCCTTTTATAGTGTGAGCTTTTCCTTTTTAGCTCTAAACATATGTGGTCTGGTGAATTCAGCCTCCTGTCTCTGGTAGTAAAGAATGGGGACTGCTTAGGGAAAGAATGTAATAATCAAGTGATAAAGTGATCCTTCCTGTGTCACATTCATCCTGATTTCCTAATAAGGGTCTTCTTCAATGGGAAGATTTACTCCAATGTGTGTAATAGCCTGCAAAAGACCATTAAATTCACATTTTTCATGTATTTTGGTTGTTTCAGACTCCCTATGTAGTATGTAATCTAATATATGTATTAAGAAAACTAAAGAATAGGGGTTTGTTTCAACTTTTCATGTTGTTCATGGTGATTCTACTGTAGATAATCCAGTTTTGTGTACTTTTTGTCAAGCCTTTTGTAAGTTAAAAAGTTCTAGTTCATTTAATTCCTTCTTTGGCGGAACTGTACAATGCTTTCTGATACCTCTGGTCTTTTCTGCACATCATTGTGTGTCTTTTATCATCCCTTGTTATTCCCTGAGCTCATCAATTGATATCTTTGATTTGATTTGCTACTCCTGTTTTCATTCTTCTGACATTCTCAAATTAATTTCCATTCATTTATTAGGAGTGGGAATGTTTAGTACTGTCTGGACATTAGCTGGAGAGAGCAAAGGAAAGGCTGGGCTCTAGGTTATGTCTCCATTCAGCCCTATACAGCCCTTCACTACAGTTATAAGAATAGTTCTCTTACACTTAGCCCTTGATCTTGAACAGGCCCAGTTAACTGAGAATGACAAGAAGGATGGACAGCAGTAGATGTTGGAAAACACAGAAAATAACCTCCTGTGTTTCAGTTTGTGCCCACTGCTTCTTGTCCTGCCACTGAACACCACTGAAAAAAAGCCTGGCTCCATCCTCTGCCTTCTCTCCCATGAGGCATTTATACACATTGACAAGATCACCCCTCTCAGCTTCCTGCAGACTAAACAATCATAAGCTTACTTAGTATTTCTGAGAGACGGTCCAGTCCTCTCAGGGGCCTTGTGCTGGACTCACTCCAGTATGTTCATGTCTTGTACTGGTGAACCCAAAGCAGCACTGCGTATAGCACTCCAGATGTGGCCTCACCACTGCTGAGTAGAAGGGAAGGATCACTTCCTCAACCTGCTGGGAACACTACTCCCAATGCAGTACAGGATGCCCTTGACCTTCATTGCTGCAAGAACACATTCTCATGTTGTTGTCCAGTAGGATATCATAGTCCTTTTCTTCCAAGCTGCTTTCCAGCTAGTTATCCCCCAGCCTGTACTAGTGCATGGTGTTGTTTGTCCACAGGGCATTTCCCTTTGTGGAACTTCATGAGGTTCCTGTTTGAGCATTTCTCCAGCATATTGAAGTCCCTCTGTATGGCAGGACACATATCTGGTGTCTCATCAGTTTTTATCATCTACAGACTTGCTGAGGGTGTATTATGTCCCAGAATCCATGTCATTAATGAAGGTATTAAACAGTATTGCCCCAGTATAGATCCCTGTGGTACACCATTAGTACCTGGCCTCCAGGTAGCCTTTGTGCTGCTAATTACAGTCTTTAAAATCCAGCATCTTTGCCATTTTTTGATCCACCTCATTGTTCAATATGCAACTTCATAAGTCTGTCTGTGGAGATGTTATGGGTCATAGTGTCAAAAGTCTTGATAAAGTGAAGATAA